GTTGGCTGTGTCTTCAATCTGTCACTTGGCAGAAGCAGCAGTCATTAGGCAGATGTCAACATAGATTGGGTGACATGACAGATCATCTCTGAAATCCATAAGAATGTTATGTATTGTTATGTTTAATTTTGTACATTGTTGAGCCTTTGCTTTGGTTTTAAAGATAAATTTAGTGTACGTACTATGAACATTTTTGGTTCTGTTGAGTTTTGAGTCATGAACCAGTTTGTTGTAGACAGTTAAACATTAAAGGTTATTTCACCCAAAAATAAAAATTATCCCATAATTTACTCACCCTCATCAAGCCATCCTAACCAGTCTTATGTGTTTGTGTTTTGACTTGAGGTATCATGTGAGAGTCCCCCTTTTTGTCCTAACCATGGAAAACCACATTGTTTTGTAGGAAGTGGTAATTCCCAGCACGTACAAGCAACTTCACATGGTCAGATCAGGAAAGGTCATCCTCTATTCGCAATAGAAGTTTTCAACTGGTCATCTGTGAGAAGAGCTCATGCGGCACTCTAGCTGACCCATGGGGAAGCAGCCACCACAATTTATGGGAAAATTTATGTAACGTTTTCCTCCCAAAGAAGAAATCTGTCAGATTGAGCCTGGTGGTTTACTCAGGCGCTCCTCTTGGAATTGTCATCAACGTGTTTGGCAGCTATTTTTGGGAAGATGAATGTCCTTTGGAGAGTTAAATTAAACTTTGTGAAAGACACTTAAGAGAATTCAGAAAGCATGTCACGAGGGATTGACCTCTGCGTTTGGCTTTTTTTTTTTTTCTGGTTAGCTGGTGGCTATTTGAAAGTTACATTCTTCAAACTTGCTGCACTCTGTTTGAAATATTGTGATTCTTAATCTTTGTAAACTCTAGCTGTATGCAGGCTGAAGCTGTTGACTTGTTGTCATTTGTTTTGTTTCATTCTCTTGCTCCTTTACTTTGTTTTCAATCTCTGCTTTTGGCCTGAAGAGATTATTTATCCTAAATCAGGCAAATATCTCTGCGTGCTCTCTGTTCATTCCCCTAATCATCCCTCTGATGGGGGCTTTAGCCCATGATGACTTGGCGTGTGGGGAAGGTTGGGGGCAGTTGCCATAGAAATAAACTCTCATTTCTGCAGTCATGGGAATATGACCCACCTAAAGCCCCTCTGCTTGTGCTGCAATCCCTTTTTGTTTTCTCTATCTCTCTGGACATCTCAACAGCATCTTTTACATTTTTCTCCTCAGTTCCACAACTCAGACCTATTTACGAATTCATCTGATTCAAACCAGTCAAAGTATATCTTTTTAGCTTCAGGGCATACCAAAATGCCACCAACATAACCTAACTTCAGGAGGAAAAGGTTTGATGGTGTAAATACAACTATTGGTTTGAGTTTAAAATGTTGTGGAGGAAGTTTTAAACCCACTACAGGGAATCGCAATTCACTTCCCACTTTTACTGTTCTCCTGAGGGCTGTATAGACAGAGTACATCAGGGCTATGAAAACACACAGACAAATGTATTTTAGTTTAGCTACTTATTTTCAGCTCTAAATTTGGAAAGAATACTCTTTCTCTAGCAAAAATGAAGGATAATTGTGGCTGTTTATCAATTCAGGAAATGTTTTTGCTTCCAATTTTGTGGTTCTCACAGCCTTCACTGAATGTGAAGGTATTATTTTGTGCTTGCCTTGTCAGATCTGTCCCTATTCTTGGTGCTAAATGGGTTTTGCTTCACTATCAGCCATCTAAATGGAACACATTTTAATTTTGGGAATGGAAGACTTGCTGTTACATGCATCCGTTAGGATGTTTGTTACTGAATGTGCCGCTAGCTATTTTATGTGTTTAAATGCGTGATAAACATATTACATTTGGTATGCATATCAGAAGCTTTAAGCATTAGAATTTAATTTAATTTAATGGCATTTATAAGTTTGGGTCAGATTTTTTTTTATTTTGGTAAGAAATGAATACTAATTCAACAAGAATGGATTGTTCCAGACTGACACCGTTCTTCTGAATTTTTTTATTCATCAATAAATTATGAAAAAAAAAAAAATATAATAATATATAATATATTTTTACTGTGGTGAGCATAAGAGACTTCTTTCAAAAACATTACAAAAATCTTACCAACCCCAAACTTTTGAAAAGTATTGTCAACATTTCATTTAGTAACATAATATATTTTGTGTTATGATGTATGTATTATATGATATATGTGATATAAAAGATTGCTGTGATTATTTATCACAACTTAGTTCACCCCATAATGAAAATTCTGTCAGTTTTCACTCATATTCTTCCAACCCCGTAAGACTTTCGTTCATCTTCGGTACACAAATTAAGATATTTTTGATGAAATCTGAGAGCTGGATCCTCCATATAGGCTTCTAAGGGATTGAAACTTGCCGGCCCAGAAAAGTTATTAAAGACATTCTTAAAATAGTCCAAGCATCTACAGTGGCTTAATCTTAATTTTATCAAGCGACGAGAATACTTTTTGTGAGCAAAAAAACAACAAAAATAACGACTTTATTAAACTATCAATTTCCTTTTCGGTGGGCCTCGAGATAGTTCACGTAGTGTACTATTAGAATAAGAAATACTATGTTGTTTCAACTTAACAAAGTAGGTGTTCATGCTTGACTTATTAAGTTTAGTTAACGTTATTTTAGTTAAGTTGGATATTTAAGTTATCTCAACAAATTTTAAATAGTTTAAACTAATTGCAACAACATTTTACAGATCTATACACAACACCAACCATAATCTTGTTTTGTTTTTGTTTTCTTTCCAGAGATTCGTAAGAGAAGGAAATCACTACGGAGAAAGTTTGACTCCTTCTCAAAAGAAAAGAAAGAGCGAGGTAAGAGATGATCCTTTAACATTTTTCACAAATCTTTCCTGTGCACAGATGGTCTTGTATCTCTGATAAACAACCAATATATACTTAGTCATGTCTTCAAGTGATCTCTTTAATTTTAAACCACGATAAAATGATAATGAAACTTATATTTGTCCACTTATACAACTCTAACTTCATCATTACAACTCTAATCATTACAACTTTAATAATAGTAATAAAAACACTACAAAGTATTTTTTGTGAACATGGCAGAATATAGACTTATAGCAATTACTTAAAAATGGTGGCTCGCGCTGTGAATCCTCAGAGTCTGGTTGCCAAGACTGTTTGGTGGGTCACAGTTCTTGCAAATCTCCCATAGGCCTTTAAGACACACAGCTTTAAGACTTTAAGACACAGGATACTTTACATTAATGTAGCTTTACTCTCAATAATCTCAACAACCCTGCAATACCATGTTCATTGCTTTCTATTTAGGAGTTCATCTTAGTTTTTGTCTAGGGATAATTGGCACAAATACTGGATACTGACTCACATGCTGAAAGCATCTAAACGATTATGAAACTGATAACAATAATGTGTGTAAACAGTAAAACCAGTTTACGTGAGGATTCTCAAAGACTCGAGAGCTGCTTTTTGCAGAATTTTTACGGAATTTAATAACTACATTATCAATGGAATGTTTAGGGTTGGTAAGATTTATTGTGGTTTTTGAAAGAAATGTATTTTGTTCACTAAGGCTTATTTAATCTAAAATACAGTAAAAACAGTAATTTAACAAAACAATTTAAAATAAATGTTTTTTTTTTACTGTCAAACGATTAATCGCAATTAATCACATCCAAAATAAAAGTTTGTGTTTACATAAAATATGTGGGTGCACTGTGTATAATTATTTTGTATACATATAAATACACACACATGCATGTAAATTTAAGAAAAAAAATTATATAAAATAATTATACACAGTGCAGCCACATATATTATGTAAACACAA